ACATCTTTTCTCACCTCTCTCTTTACCCTCCCAGACCATAGCATATTCAACACGTCTGCTACCCCATTAAGATATGCTAAATTATGGAGGCCTGCAGGGGCTCAAAGACCACCTCTTCGATCAAAAACAGCCGTTTGGAGGGGGTGGGGTGGACGGTTGGCGTGTCCATGGGGGTTTTCGCAGGCAAACATACATGGCAACCTCAATAAAAAAAACAGGGGAGGGGAGGGGGAGGATGCTGCATGACATGGCAACCCTAACGCAGAAATCGTGCTGCTTTTCCATCCTGCGCACATGCTTGAGCAACTGTGGATGATTGCACGAGGCAGATACCAATCTGCCTCCAGTTTCTTTCACAATTCTATTTGATTTAGTTTGGAGTCTCAAACTGGAGCTTATTTTATTTTTTCAGGGCGGTAAGTAGAAAATACTCTCGCTGAAGAAGAGGCACTCAAAGTCACAGAGGGGGATCACAACCTGCAGCATTTTTAAAGAGAGAATGTGCATGAATTGTTTGGTTTCCCATCTTAAAGGAATACAATTTTGGGGAATACTAAAATATCCTAATTTTACGGAAAATAACTTTTTTTACAGTAGCTTTCCAGTTTTTTAGAATTATGTACAAAACTCTGTAAAAATAAAGATATTATCTGTAAATTAAGAGTCAAACTGTAAATTTAAGTATTATGCTAATAATGACAAATTACATTTTTATCTCCTTTCTTTACAGAAGAAATACTGTAATTATTCTAGAGTATTTTACTGTTTTTTTAAATTACATTCAAATCATGTAAAAAAACGGTCAAATGACTAAAATTGTTAAGGGAAATTCCTGTAAATGTATGGTTTTCGCACTTTATTCGAATTAAGTTATTTTACCTTAATTTTACGGTTTTTGTTTGGCAGCCACAGCTGCCAGTCATTTTACCTTTTTACGTTTTTTTTACAGTGTAACTAATAGTAACTAGGTAACATATCTTTGATTTGTACAAAAAAAACTCAATTTAGAAACATCAATTTGAAGTTAAAAGTTACTTCATGGAATCCCGTTGCCACCGTGATGTTGTTAGATCTCAGACCTAAAACTAATTTTCAGCAGGTTTCTACTGCTTAAAGACAATTTGATTCCAGTGTTCTTAAGACTACTTTAATGGTTCTTCTTGGAAAAATAAAAATAAAAATCCCCGTCAAAGCCTTGTGGAGACAAGCGTGGAACATATTGGGAGATACCTGCTGTTAAATTAGCGGGTTGACTTGGCTGCGTTGTGCTGGTGTCCACCAACTTTATGAAAAGTTAATATGTTTCAATGAGAAGTGCTCAAAGCGACAGCACAAAAAAGTTGGAGGGATCTGATCCTCATCGGTGCCCTTCAGCAAACGCAGCAAGCCTGATACAGCTTCGAGGGGGGTTGTTTGAAGCACTATGTAACACCTCTTCCACCTGCTGTTTGATAGTGAAGTGACTGCATAGTCCAAACTTCTCTTTCCTACAAACGTCCGCTGTACGCTCAAGAACTCCCAGAATCTAGAGGGCCAAATCGTGTATAATGAATATTGAACACAGTATCCATTCACAAAGCGGGAGCGGCTCAGTGTGTCCCGAGGGAGCGCCGAGAACCGAATGAACCAAATGAATGTGCATCAGAGCAGCGAACAGAACGGAAAATCTGCTGTCAGTCACACACACACACGGACACGATTATTTATACGCACACACACGCAGGAATTTAAGCAAACAAACACAGCAAGAAAATGGACACGCACACACAGGCGTGTGAATAGAGATGAGCCAATTAGCAGGCGTCTGACAGTCACCCTGAAGGGGCGAGTGAAGCGAAAGAATACATTAAATCAGTACGCGTGCAGACGGCAGCACCGAGGGAAATGCAACTACGACGGCGTCACACTCTGACACGTGGGGGCTCGTGTGGCCAGAGGCGAATCCATTCTGACACATGGGGGCGGATAACGTGGGCAGATGTGTGGAGGGAGGCAGCTGGGCAGGTCGAGGGTGACTTTCAACGATATCATTTCCCGAGCGACACGCAGGAGGAAGTGGTCAACCGACACATATTAAGGACAGATGGGTAGAAGCAAAACCAGCCTGCTGCTGACCAGGATGGTTTCTGGTGGAACTATGATAACAAGGTCCCCCCCTAACTGCAGTAACCCATGATTTTCTTTTCTGTTTCTTAACCTGACCAGGGCTCAACCACAGCGGTGTCGGGTCAGAAAATGTGTCAACATGTGTCAAAGTGAAGAGCTATAGTTGGTTTCTCTGCTCATTCATTTTGCCCTTAATTTGTCTTCACTATACTTTCTAGTTCCTGTAGATTCGCGCTTTGGACAGGCTTAGTGCTGAGATTAAAACTCTCGCAAAAAACATGATCGAATGTATGCAGGACCAAGACGAGCCGGATGAGATCCAGCAGCTGCTGCATTCAAGGGAGAAGGCTGCTTGGAAGGAGGAACTGGAAAAGGTACGTGTTCCTGCAGTCGCTGTCCAGCTTCCCCAACTCTCTAAGGGTGATCTTAAAACAGAATTTTCTGTTTCTAAAACTTACCAGGGCTCAACCACAGCGGTGTCGGGTCAGAAAATGCAGAAATGTGTCAAAGTGAAGAGCTACAGCTGGTTTCTCTGCTCATTCATTTTGCCCTTAATTTGTCTTCACTATACTTTCTAGTTCCTGTAGATTCGCGCTTTGGACAGGCTTAGTGCTGAGATTAAAACTCTCGCAAAAAACATGATCGAATGTATGCAGGACCAAGACGAGCCGGATGAGATCCAGCAGCTGCTGCATTCAAGGGAGAAGGCTGCTTGGAAGGAGGAACTGGAAAAGGTACGTGTTCCTGCAGTCGCTGTCCAGCTTCCCCAACTCTCTAAGGGTGATCTTAAAACAGAATTTTCTGTTTCTAAAACTTACCAGGGCTCAACCACAGCGGTGTCGGGTCAGAAAATGCAGAAATGTGTCAAAGTGAAGAGCTACAGCTGGTTTCTCTGCTCATTCATTTGGCCCTTAATTTGTCTTCTCTATACTTGTATAAACATCACTGTGCAGACGCACACGTCTGAACTCTAACCCAACACACGCTCTTACAGAGGGCCCCCCCTTGAAAATCAAGAGCCATTACGCTTCCAGTATTTGTAAATGATCTCTGAATGCTCCTGACCGCGAGCTTGCATCAGGCCATTAGCCCAGGCCCCCCGACACTTAACGCAGTGTGCGCAAAACACACACTCCACGCCGTTCTGACCCCCCGAGTGCTGCCGGTGGCAATCTCTCCGGGTTGAGATCACCCTGGGTGCAATGTGTAACGATAACATCTTTGGCTTGATCGCTTAAGAACTTTCTGACAGTCTGTCAGCGTCATATCAATTATTGTGGCTAACGGAGCAGACAGGATGTTGCTCGCTGTCGATGGCACGGATTTTTTTCAAAGGAGGAAGTCAATCAAAGGAAAAACAGACATGGTTTCTTTGAAAAGAGGCTGAGTGAATTAAACTGCCTCTTGAGCTTTGCAGCGTGCCGCACTCTGTAGATCTAGTCTAGATCTATTACGCTGTTCTAATTTCCAACAAAACATTCATACAAAAGAGCACCCTAGCTCGACGTTGCGTAATAGTTTCTTCTTAAAATGGAATTGCGAGCAACAAGTTCACTGCCGGACGGCCGTGCGCGGAGAATGAAAGTGCAAACGGAGCCAGAGAGCAGATTGCAGATTTTCTCCACTAAGCTGAAGCGGATTGCTGATGTTATTTTTGTTCCCCCAAACATCTTCCCTCGAAATCTCCATTACAGGGCTGATTTTGGAAAAAGCACACAGACGACACTTTTATGTACACAAGCCTTTCAGGTAGGCAGGATGCAGAGCTGAGGGCTGCACAGGATGATGCATTTAGGTGCACGCCGTACACGTGAGCATTCAATTCCCACTTGCAACTCCAACAGAAGTCCGCTCAAGGTTAAAGAGTCCATCAGGATGTGTTTGTTTGCGAGAGGAGGGGGGAGTTCTTCCGGGTGTAATCTCATATGTGAGGACAGTTGCCAATTGTATTCCAGGGAGAAGTCTAAAAATATACCAAACACACACACAGACAGACACACAGACAGACACACACACACACACACACACACACACACACGCGTACCTTCCCAGGCAGATAAGCTGGGGAACAGAGGAAAGAGAGCGGCATTCCCGTGAGGAATCAGTGGAATGTAAACCGGCCACCCGCACACGCTAAACAACACGCTTTCAGAGAGCTTCATCAGAGGCTGTGAGACGGCGGCCTTATCTGGAAAAAGATGCCCCAGAGAACAGTGCACTTTGTTGGGATCGTCCCCCCCGGTTTAACGTCTGTGTCCTCCAGAGATCCCCATGAGGCGACAGGAATGCAGCTGCATCCTGGGAAATCCTGCTATCTTGTTTTGCGCTTAAACATTGAATAATGCTTCCGCGAGCAGCTGTGCGTTAGCGTTCAAAGCTAAACCAGGGTTGTTAAGATTTAATAAAAAAGTCAGACAGCACTATTCCTATTATCCCTCACCTCGGAAATACAGCTTGCCTGTTCCTCACACACACACACACACACACACACACACACACACACAATACTTCATTCTAATCCTACGGCCTTATAAGTGGGATAAGTGACATCAGCCCTTCTACAGTTATTAAAACCCTCTGGGTCACACACACTGTAATTTCTACAATCCCCATTGTGTGCGTGTTTATGTGTGATTGTGTGTGTGTGTGTGTGTGTGTGTGTGTGTGCACTCCAACACTGGCAGTTCTTATCAATATGCAACGGAGCTGCTGTTAGAAGACCAGAATCACTTGCAGGAGAGCTGAACTCCGTACAGCGGGACGGTGCTTTTAATAATGCACGCTAAGTTGCCGCCGCTTCCTCCGGCCAGATGACGGCATTGTTGTGAGGTCCGGCCGGTGGCCCACATTACCAGCTGCTCTAGAAATCACTTTCTGGGTCGCTGAGGGATTACCGTAGGGCTGGCGCCGCAGCACAGGTCCTGGGGGCCACAAACGGGTCGTCAAACGTGGCTCACGACGAAGCGGGCGGCGGTGACCTCCGGAGAGCAGAGATCCACGGGGGGGGGCTCTTTGCACTTAATCAGTGGGAGCAAGTCGTCTAGACGAGTGAAAGTAAACAGCAGCTAATTTCCTGTGTTTTGACTGTTCCCGGCCTTGTTGTGCGGTTAGCCTTCTCGCTTAGCGTCGCAGGCCGCGGCAACTATTGTTCTGCTGCCATGCCGCTGATTCACAGCTGGTTGCACCCAACGTCGCTGTTGCTAAACCTCCCACAACTTCTGCAAACACAGACCACGAGGAGTTAGAAACTGTTTGGCTATAAAAAAAAGGGGGGATTCCCAGTGTTTGAAGTTGGATACTCTTTCTTTGGAAGGGAGAGGGAATGTTTATTTCAGCTTTCAAGTCCTTTTTACTTTCTTTTTTTTTGAAGTGCGTGTGCAAAGATTGGCCATGAAGACGCTGACATGTTTCTTTTTGAGAAACCTCACAGATGAAAGAACAGCAAAATAGAGGAAATATAAAAGCCACAAAAAAACACAGTCGTTTTTGATGGAAAGGAGTAAAAGTTAAATGCAGTGATTCTCAGGAATCTAAAATTAAGTAAAGACTTTCTGTGGAGACTGTATACTTTTAGAATTGAATTATTCCTGCAACACGAATACTGCTTATGAAGTATTTGTTTTTCCATTTATCCCCAAACCTCATTAATTAAATGGAACGAAAAGAGATGATATAATATTAACACACTTTACGGTTGTTAAAATGACCTCTTGCAGTCCGCCGTGTGATCACGAGGTTCCATTAAATCAGCCAGACTGCAACCGTTAAAAGAAAAAGTATCACGCTGAGAGTCCTTTCATGAGAAGATCCGAGAGGGTAAAGAAAGCTTTAACGGATGTTTGGAGAATAGGTCCAAAAGGCCCCCACCTCATCCTCTAGGATTCCTACAGGAAATGATAAAGTGGAAGTGAAGTAAACGAAGACATGAATTGACTGGCTGAAGCGCAGCGAGCTGCCGGGAGACTCGATTTAGCCCCCTGAGGAAAATCTCACCCGCTTTGACAGGCTAAAAAGGTTTGCAGTAGAAGGTTTGAAACACACACACACACAGTCTACAATAACAACAACAACTGGTGGTGTGAAAAGGTGTGACATGTGACACATGTTCCAACCTGCACTCAAACCAGCAACACACATGGTGTTCATGAGTGCACTGACCCACAAAGAGATGGTGGCTGGCAGGAAGGTTCATTTTAGAACAGAGAGTTTGTGTTTTATCAGCAGAGAATCACATGTGGAGCTGAAATGTTTGTTGGTAGACTACTACTAGATTACCTTTGTGTTTTGGACTGTTGATCGGACAAGACCGGAAACTTGAAGCCGTCGCTTGAAATCTGGGGAGAACACAACGGAAATGTATTATTGACTTTTAACATTTTTACCTTCATTATCGTCTGATCAAGTAAAATAACCAGGCATATTTCCCAATGATTCATTTTCTTTTACAGCAGCCCAGGTAATGTGATACATCGCAACTACGGAACTTTACGTTTTTACACTTTAATGTTGTTAAAAACAACAACTCCTGAAATGTAAGGATTTACTTTTCTATGCTTAATATCATTATGCATTTACTTCCAACTGTCAGACAAAACATTTGAAACGCATTACATTTGGCTCTGATGACTTCTGGTGAACATCTGCCATTGTGTTTCACTGCATCCACTAAATTATGAATTAAAAAAGTAGATGAATTAATAATGAAATTGGTTGTAGCCTGTGGCGATCCTCCCCACCTGCCTGCCCCCATGGGTGGAGGATGGCGGGAGAGAGAGACTGTGTGTGTGTGTGTTGTATGACAAACAAACGGGGATCAAGACAAGCTTGTTATACATCCCTCCCGATGTTTGGAGGTCGCTCGCCCTCCCCAGGTCTTGACGCACCAAAGCAGCGTGTCACAATAATAGGCAATAAAAATGACAATGCATAACGGCGGCCCGGGACGCCTCGCCGGATTTGAAAACGCCCTTAAAGTTTGGCTGCGCGAGAGATGACACATCCACACACAGAGAAACGCGGATTATCCCCGATGACTGGCCGCCGGCGTCGTACATGTTGATGACACATCCACGTTCAAATCGCACTGAGATGGTAAAGAGCAGACGGGATTAGACGTCACTGTCAACATGCGCAGTTTCTTTACCTTTGTCACCCTTCTTAGCAGCGCTCGGGACCGACTCCTGTCCTGTTCATCCACCACACAACGGAGTTTATTGAGTAAGTTTCTCTGCGTTGATTTTGTGTGACATGTGACTTTGTGTCAGTGTCGCAGTTGCCAGCTGTGAATGACTGAGTGACAGGAACTGAGCGATGAACGTACATGTACTCACTTACTCTTAAACACACCCACACAAACACTGTAGAGGGAAAGTTGTGTGTGTGTGTCAGAGTGGGGGTTGGGGCGGGGGTCCTCCTGCTCGTTCATTGTAAACCTCCCATAATCCTTTACTTTGCAAAATGACACAGCTGCCAGACACATCCTCTTTGTTGGCGCCTCAAACCTCCACTCCTTTCCCCTCTCTCTCTCTCTCTCTCCCTCTCTCTGCCTCTCTCTACCTCTCTCACACACACACACACACACACACACACACACACACACACACTACAAACAGAACACATCCTAACACCCATCCCAATGGTGCATGATGATTCTGTGTGCAAGAGGAATAATAATTGAAAGTCTGTTACAAGGATTCATTCGACGCTCGCTGACATGCCCGTTCATCACCATGACGACTTGGTAATTGGAAACAAACAATCTACATTCCCCATGTTCAATCTGCTAAGACGCGACTTTGTGAATGTAAATGACTGCACAAGCACACAAACTTTGCCTCCAAATCCCCAAATGGTTGACCCGTTGGCACCTTTAAGTTCATGGAGCCAAAATACATTCAAAGGATTCTGCGGGTGCGACATAAAAGGGGAGGATGATGAGTGGGGATGAAAGGCAGGAGCTCAGGATACAGGGCGCCCACATGCCTAGCTGGCATTTTGGCGGTCTGTCCATCCATCCCCTAGAAACCCTGTAACCAGGGACAACGGGGCCTTGACGAAGCGACAGAAGACAGAACAGGACTCAGTGGCTCTCCGTTTGCTTGTTGCCAAGGCGCTGATAATGCCGACCTTTCAGGCGCTCGCACGTGCAGGAACGGACGCACGCAGGTGTGGAAAACACTTGAAAACACAATGTGACAAAATGCACTACACGGTGCATACAACTTAAAGAATGGCGGATGACAATATCAAGCAGAAGCCTGAACACACTAGTTTTCATGAACAGACAAATCGACAGCTGTCATGCTGTCATTTCGCAAAGAGCTCCACCAAAGGAGGAGCAGATTGTGCGCTTCACACCGAGCGCGACGCCGACTTGGGTTCAACAGAAGCTCTGCATGGTCTTACCCCCCCCCCCTCAGATGTTGACTGCTCGGTTGACAACGTCGAGTTTTGTGAAGCACAGGCACTGCATAACTCGATGAGCAGCCTCCACGCAGGCCTCCAGCCATCAGCTTAAAAGCCGCGCAGACATGGGAGCCAACGGGACGTGACGTTTCTGGAGCAGTCGCCGGGGCTGTTGGGAGAGCACCGCGGGGGGGCTTTAGGTTTAGGATGGAATGCAGACAGACACGGTACTCGTCTGAACACGCGTGGCAGCTATTCTGTTAAGTTTCTGAAGGTGGAGAAAATGGAAAAGCAACGAGTCTCTGGTGTGTGTCCGTATAGGTTGTGTGTGTGTGTAACAGGTAACGTGCAGCCATTAGCGGTGTTGCTTTCAGCATCCAGCGTGCTCGACAGGAGAGCGCGGCCGCGCTGTTACTGCGAGGGCTCGGGGCCAACGCCGCGCGTGTGACAACCCACATCTATTTCAAACCATCTCAGTTTAGAGTCCCAGAAACCCACCATCTATATTGCAAAAAAAAAAATTGTCGTCAAAATCAATGAGCGCTGAAAACCAACTCAAAGCCAAAAGCTACAGCGTTTCCTAATGAGCCATTGTGTGGCCGAGAGGAGCCTAAAAATAACCCTCGTAACATGCTTGAAAAGAAGCTAATCCCCCAGCCGCATTTGGTGCTCTGAGTCAGGGTTTTAATGCACCGCTTTACAACCCGGGTGTGTGTTTATTGGCACGAGTCTGTGTACATAAATGTGTGCGTCTGTGTGTTTGTGCGTGACTAAAACGAAAGGCAAAGTTGCCTGTGTGAGGACGGGAGAGGAGAGAAGTGACAAGCGGAAGGACGGAATAGGTTCCTATTTATTGAGAGATCCTCCACCCTTCCTCCACCCTAAAACCCTCTTTTACAAACTCATCATCTATCCCATTATACATCCTAATTCCTCGCTTCACTACTTCCCACTTTATGTTTGCTCCCCCCGTTCCTAATCCTGTCTTTTCTTTAACTCTTCTCTCCTCCCATCACTTCCTCTCCTCGGCCCCTCAGTGTGCTTAGAAAGCTCAGGGCCGCGTCTCCGGTTCAAACCCCGTTCACTGCGGCTCAGCCCAGCACCCCACTGTGATGTCTCCTCCTTATTAAAGCTCAAACACGCTCTCTCTTTTTCATCAGCCCCTCGATCTTTTGCTTCCGCGAGCTTGGTTGGCATTTTTTGAAGCGCATGTCCCTGGGCCTTGTGTGTACTCTTCTCAACCTGGCCGAGCTTTGTGGAGGAACATTAAACAAGTCAAAGATAAATGTTTGACAGAATGCAGAAGTCAGGGTTCAACCGCAGAGCCGTCGGATTTCTCATGTTCAACAAAACAGTCCAAGACCCAAAACTGTAAAGCTTTCCGCGGAAAAAAAAGAAAAGAAAAAGCAGCGATCCTCTTTTGTTGCAGTGCTGTGAAAAAGCCCTGCGTGTGACTGGATCACATGACCTGCACAGCATCTGCACCAACATCTCATAAATATCAATTAACAACTCAAGATTTCATGAATGATTAACTGTGATTAACAGGATTTGTTACAGTTCTTCAAATCATTGATAAATCCATGAATTACAACACAACCCTTTGTGGGTGGTAAAGAATCAGAGCAATCATTCAAGAACACATTTCAGTTGATACAAAACAAAGCACCAAGTTCTGCTACCCGGGCCTATTCGTACATAGAGTAAATTATTTTAGTTATCCCCAAAGGGGGACTTTCTTTTGCGACAGCATCATTAGAAAAAAACCTCAAAGGATCATTTAACTATTTGAACGGCTCCTCAACAGTCAACTCCTTGTTCTTCCTCTTGGCACAAATATCTTTTCCCCAATTATATTTACTCACTCATTCGCAACTCCCCCTGTCTACTTCTCTGCCTCCCTCCCTCTCTCTCTCTCTCTCCCTCCCTCCCTCTCTTCGTTCTTCCTTCAGCCCGTTACGTTTCCATTGTCTGCTCCTGGATAGTGAGGCGTGTTTACCAGCAGCCGGCGGAGGCAAACAAGCGGCCTATTCACAGAGCTCATCGGCGACGTAGATGGAGAGAAGGGACGGAGGAGAGGGGGGGGGGCAGAAGGAAATGGAGAGTGAATTCCTCGGATGGTTTGCAGATATCAGTACAACAATTCCCATCATTTCGTGGAGCAAAAAATACGTGTAAACAACACTAATGGCAATAACTGCATCCTCCTCAAGCTTTCTTGTTGGTCTCATGTTGCCAACACAAATCCAAGCCGTGTCGTCCGTCTCCTCCTCCCAACGCACACACTCGTCATGTTGTCTAATAAAAGAATAAACAATGAAGCCCTAAAGGGGATTAACAAATACTCTCCCTGTAGTAAACAGTCATTTGGCTGAAGGCTTCTCTCTGGAGGAAAATGGATGACAGTAGAAGCTCATTTCCTCTTCGTCAGCCATGAGTTCAAACGGGCGTTCGCTCAGAGTCCAAAGAGGAATCTGAACCGAACGCTTCCTCTATTCACGTTACAGTCAAATAAACAAAGAAATAAGACGTTACCTTATCTTTTCAGCACTGTTTGCACATTTGTCAGTTCCTCATTCATACATTAATTGTGGTGCCTTTGTGGCCTTCGGCAACAAAGATACAAGATGACGCAGGAAAGACATTTCATGCACTTATTTCTCTGAACTCTAAGAAGAGACAAACCACAAACCAATGCTCTTCTGAGGAGGTATTGCATCGTACTCCCCACTCTTGTTCTACCCTGTCAGATCATCACCGTGTTGTTGTTGCTATATCGCATTTCATCAGAGCGAACACTTAGCAGAGCACGTACCCACACCTTGTTTGTCCAACAGCTTATATTAATACACCAGTGCCCGTAAAAATAACAGGGGCATTTCCTATTATGAGCCTGCTTGGGAAAAGGGAAGAGGGAGGTACGCTTCAA